GCTATCATATTGTGCTATTAACATTTATATTACTTTAAGTTTCATTCAGACTAGCAAAATAACTCAAATTGAAATGCTCTCAGAGTGACTAAACTTTAGGAGGCAGAAAGTTATTGAGCAAGTCAGAACGCAAGAGATAATAAAACTGGAAAAACAAACTCTCATCACATCAATCATAGATTTATATTCAAAACCAGGGTTAAAGCTATATGTGTTGGATGGAAGCCAGTAAGCTAAAGATATGTTCCAGACAAAAACAAAACAGGTCTTCAAAATAGATACCTTAACCTATTCTACACTTGTAAACAGGCGAGAATGAATCTTACCTGAGCTGAGTTAAACAAAACGGATGACGGAGGAGCATCGAAGCGAAACACTCCAAAATAATGCTCCGGTTGACAATTTATTGCTGAACGTAAACCATAACACAACAAACAAAGTCCAGACTAGCCTAACACAGTAACACAGCACAGCCGACCAGCCGACACGCCAAGGGCGAGGGGAGGGGAAAGTGGGGGGAGGGGGGAGGGCACAATTGAGAAGAGAACCAAATCTGAATCTGAATCTGAGATAGTTGGTGGTTAGATCGTTGTGTATCGGAATCCAGTTGCTCAGGTCTGTCCCGAATCCCGAACCTCCCGAACCTCAACACCCGCCGAACGATGTCGATGACCGAGAGTTGGTTGTTACAACCCCTACTTTTCCTGATATTTTGGTAATCATCATATCTTAACCGTGCAATGGCAGCTGTTGCCTTCCAGTGTCCGATTAGAGTAAGAAAAATGAGTAAAATTTTCACCACCGCCGGACTTTTAAAACGGAACGCAGATCATCTGAGTACAATTTATGCAGGTAACTTAACCTATACAAAATACGAACAAATAACAATAACTCAAATGTTGATGTAAAGTCATCGTTTGTGGTTGATGGGTGTAAAGTTGTTGAATTGCCACTTAATACACAGCATCGAAAACTCAGTGATATTATATGATTTAGTCAGGTGAGGAGAATAACTTGGTTTCAAATCATCAAGTACCATGACATCAGTTTTAATACATTGGCGGGGGTCGGCAATCCTATATTATTGGGACCCACAGTGTAGGTCACGCTGCACTGAACTTGTTAAAAGCTGAGTCTACTGAGCTTCAACTCATTAAGAAGACCTGTATGCGGATAAAGAAGGGTCGTAATAAGAAATAAAATCAATAAATTGCTGGCGCGTGTTGAGTTTACTGGAAATATTTTAGAATATTTCACGTTTACTTGAGTTTATGTTGTGCACAGCTCTTTAAAATTTTAATGAACTTCATTTTTGTGACCATTGTTAAACTTCAGGACAAATCTGCACGCTAAACAAGTGCTTTTATCGTAAATAGAGATAGATTGATGTC